AAATTGTCTTCCCTTAATAGGGCTCCCAGGAAACAGGAAACTGAACTGTTCTTTGTGTCACAAATAACAAATCGGAGTTATTCATCAGGAAGCTCCCACACCAAAGAGGGTTATTATTTTCACTTAAGGTCTTGAATTCATCAATGTAAAAAATCACCTTTTCCAAACTTCTCTAGGAGTTTTGAGAAAGGCTTACACTTACAAGAAGGGCCCAAATAAAGACACACAGATGTGAGTGGTTAAAGGCCATGTGGGACCTCAAGCGGTTTTGCAGTATTGCCATTTTGTTAATTCACTAAGTGAATCTGAAATGTAAGGTTTCAAAGCAATCTGTTCTACAAAGACTTATGTTCTTGTGAAATAAAAAGGAATCTTGGAAAGTATGTATATTTCTGAAACACAAATAGTAAATAACAGGAGACACTCATATAACAGTTATTCTGAGCAAGGTATTGTTCTTCAACGTGCCTTCCATATGTTAATTAATTCATTCCAACAACCATGTCACTTGGCAGAGGGAGAGGCACAAACGGTGCAAGTGTTTTGTGAGGCAGAGTGTGAAGAAAAGGTCATTCATCTGTCAGGTATGTGGGCCGCTCACATCAGGCATTTTAGGACAGCGATGGCCTGTGACTTCAGGCTGCTGGATTTCTACCTGTGACTAAGAGTTGGGGTTCACTTAGCTCTCCTAAATGTCATAGCCATCTTTTCATATCTTAAAACTCTGCTTGTACCAATGTGCAGTTATCATACGAGGCAAACCGCAGGACAGTGAGGCTAGAATCAAGTATAATTGAGTTCCATGTGTTCCCACCCAGGGGGTTGTCCCTGATCTAGTTTCAACATGTACAGTTCCCATCAGGAGGCCTGAGTGGTATTATCAGTTGCCCACCAATTTTCAGCCAGGAAAAGAAGCAGCATTACGTAAAGAGTAAAAATAGCTTGAATATTATTTTTATATGACTGAATTGGGAAACAAGGAAAGCTGACATTTATGTTCTACCTTATGCCAAACATTGCAATAAGTGCCTCAAGCATATTAATTGTAATTCTTGCAACACCTCTGAAAATAAGTGATATTTTGTTGTCATAGGTGAGGAACTAGAAAATCAGAAAGAATAACTAAAATGGCATCTACAGTAGAATTAAAAAAAAAAAAGCCCTTGTTAGGTATAACCTCTGTTTTTGCCTCCACAGTTAGCACAGCAGTGGATGTAAACCAGGACTCAATAATATCTAATCAACGATGAATTGAAAACTAAATACACAACTACCTTCTTTGTTAGAGTCCTGGGTGGAAAGTAATTCAAATTATCAAACACTTAATAAAAGGTATAATTATGAGTGCTCAAGGTAATACTGGATTTTTTTTCTATTAACAGTCTTAGGAAGGCATCTAAATAATGAACATGGCAGATTTTTGCAGAGAAAAACCTAGTTTTGAAGGTGGGGAGGGTCTGAGAGATTAGAAAATGTTCATGCATATGTACATCCTCAGAGAAGGTGAAGTACCTAAAAGACCGGACAATGCACTTATTAAGGTAATTGTATATCTACTTAGAAATATCTGCTTTCATTTACTTTAGGAATCACAAATGTGCATAGCAAACCTGTGCATTTCTGAATATTCACCTCAATATGTTACTTTTCTAAAAAGGCAATTTCCCCAGATTTTACCTGGTGATATCTGAAATGCTTTTCCTCAAGATACATCTAACAGTATCCAAAGCCTAAGGACATTAGCAATTAGAGATTTAAGATAAATAGTTCATTCACAAAGAAAGATCTGTAGGAGGGACATATTAATGTGAAATAATATTCATACTTAAACAAGATAAGAAATAAATGTGCCTTCCTAAATGATAAGTGGAAAATAGAAAAGTCATAAAACATAAGACCAGGAGAGATAATTTCACAAGTTAGGCTTATGATGAATGAACACACCATGTAACAGAATCTGAAATTCTTGCTTTAACAGAAATTGATGAATTGAGAACTAAGGAGTGAGGAAGGAAACACTGAAGGAGAGAATAAGAAGTTACAGAAGGCTTGAGTATTAAAAAGTAGCCATCATTAGGTAGAATCAGGAAAAGTTCATCTTGTGTTTTGGGTAAAAGACTTTGGTGCAACAGAAAATAATTATGCTTCCAGAACAAGCCTCCACATGGGGAGCAAACAAACAGGGTTCCTGCTTTGTGGAGTGTACCTTCTGGTGGGGGATGCAAGCTATATACATTAGTGAACCAGTGGCAGGTAAGTAAATATGATGGTTTCTAGCCCTGAGAGATGTGGTAAAGAAGATAATCTGGAGAATAGATACTGCAAGTTCCTACTCACATAAGTGCAAAGAGAATTAATTGTGTTACGGTAGTTAACAAAGCAGACTAAAGTCAGGGGAAACAAGAGGAGAAGAGGGAGATAGAAAGATGCTGTTGGTCTCCTCTGCTCCATCTCCTTCTCTTCTCTCCTCACCATCCTGTTTTCCCGTAAACCATGGGCAGAGACAATGGACCAATCTCTAAGAAATGGTTAGTGAGACTTATAAGCAAGGGCTAGAATAATTGGGCCATTTAGTTCAAGAAGAAAGAAAAAGTGACAATTTTACGTGCAATTAGAGTCCTCGCACTGGATTTACTGGGTACTTAAGGTACAGACTCTGTATAAAGAAGATGATAGTCTGTACAGAGACAGCAAAAGTGGGAAGCAGATCAAAGAAAATCAAAAGAAAATCAGCAGGAGCTGCGATTAGTAAAAACCTAGGCCGTTTTTACATTGTTTGAACACTATTAAAATGCTGAAATAGAATCAACTACCCTGAAAAAAAATACTAATTGGGAAAACAAAAACTATATACTTCTACACACACAAACGCCAGCCTTTGTAATTGGACTAATTCAAGTTGGAGGATCTTAGAGAAGATGAGATACAAAAAAAAAAAAATGTCCTGGTGTGATGGATTAGCACCAGAAAGGCTGGGCATGTGAGCCTAAGAGAATTGAGGAAAGGGAATGTAAAGGTGGGAGAAAGCAGAGAACTGGGAGTGTATGACAATATTGACAAAAAGCAATTCCTGGAATCCCTACTATTTATTTATTTATTTGTTTTTTTGTTTGTTTATTTATTTATTTATGAGCATAGAGAGAGCTGTAAGAATACCAATAAAAACAAAGGCACAATCTTGGCCAAGAGACCCATAATGGTATCATGAGGTGGCTGGCTGTATCTGTCCATACAACCAACATGGACTCGTGGTTGAGACTGATGAGTGCGGTATTGAATGGATGGTCACCAGAGATCTAACAGTTACATCTGATGGGCTATGTCAGGGCTGACAGTCTTAACCGTGGGGTGGAGCCTAGGAAGGAGGGTGGGAACACACCTGTACCCACCCTTGTTGAGCAGGGGATTTTTCACTCCTGCTCCTCACTGCATTCAGCAGCTGCTCTCTAAGTGTCTGCATCAGTAGCTACAGTCAATGGGGGGAAGTGACAGTCAAAAAGAGAGATGTTCATCTGTTGAAGGGCACCTAGGTTGGCTCCATAGCTGAGCTATTGTGAACTGTGCTGCTATAAACACTGATGTGGCTGTGTCGCTGTTGTGTGCTGATTTTAAGTCCTTTGAGATGTCATGCTAAGTGAAATAAACCAATGCCCCCTCCAAAATGAAGGTCAAATGTTCTTTCTGATATGTGTAAGTTAAACCCCAATAACAGTGAGGGAGGGTGAGAAGAATAGAAGTTCAGTATATTAGACAAAAGGGAATGAAGGGAAGGGAGAAGGGAAGGGAACAGGAATGACAATGGGATGAATCTGACATAATTTTCCTAGGTACATAATAGGAATAAATCACAGTGAATCTCAACATGGGGTCCTAATGAGAATAAAATCCACAAAATGGGATTCTAATTAGAATAAAATATATTCTATGCTTATAGGTTTGCATCAGAATGGATTCTGCTGCCGCAGATAGCTAAAAAGAACAAATAAAACAAGAAGAGAGGTGGCTCTGTATCCTGAAACTTTTATTCAATATTTTATAATGATAGGTTTATTTTAAAGTGGTACTTTCACAAAAATGTAAATTTGTCATTTTATCATGACATACAGGTCTCTTGAGGTTGTAGGTGACATCTACGGAGGTCATAAACTAGCAGACAGAGGTTGGTTCATATCCTCTACAGTCATGTCGTTAACACAAACAAGAGAGGAACTGAATTTCAAGAAACAACTCTTTGATAAAGGAAACTAATGTGAGTGACCCTATGAACATAGGGAATCAAATCCAGATTGTGATTCATTTATTTTCAGGATCCACAGTCTCCACATAAGGCACAAAGGCTACATGGAAAGTGCTATGTGTTAGTCATATCAGATGAGATACAAATATGTCATAAAGAAGGAGGAGAAATTATGCATTGTCTACAAGTAAAATGCATCCATTTGAATTTCAGGGAATCATAGCAAGTCTCAAATATTTCTCTATTAAATCTACCAAGGACTCTACCTGCTGTTTTCTTTACTACTGCCATAATACTCTTACCTCCCAAAATTCAGAAATACATCGTTTAAGATAATTTGCTGGCAGAGTGAATGGTGGGGATGTTTTGTGAGTACAAAGGTCAAATAATTTTGTACAATGCACTGCAATTTTTTAGCCTTACAATTTTACTATAAGTGACCCAAAGGAAAGTCCATTATACTGTTATACACAAAAATTATGCTGTGAGCTAATGGAAAATGAACTGCAAGGTAGCAACCCTGTATGCTGTCCCCCCCATCGCTTTTTCTGAAATATATATTCTTCGTGGGTTTTGTTTTAAAAAACATTTAAAAAAATAAATGTGGGTAAACTTGTCCTTGTAAAAAGGGAGGACCCTAATCAAATGCAACATTATAGAATGGGGGACTCTTCTACACATAAATGGACAGCTCTTTTGGGAATGTGACATGCAACAAAGAATTACAGTAAAGCCAAGGAAGTAAGAAAAAAAGTCGACTAACCTAACCCACCTGAGCTCGGCTCACAGGGGTCAATGTCCTCATCATCGCTGGGACACTCTGCTGAGGCCACAAGGATGTCATCTGTGGTCTGCAAAAGAATCACATTCAAAAGATCAATTTAAAGGGTCCTAAGAGATCCTCTTACCTTTGTCACATTGACAAGTGAAACATAGTTCTCGTTACCTCACAGGTTGAGAAATCAAAATCATTATTTCCCTTCCCAAAGACACAAAGCTTAAATTCACAAACTTATTCTAGATCTCTCATGAAAGTATCTGCATGTTTGTGAAAACTTGATGACACCTTAATTACACGAGGATGTAGAAAGAGTGATGGCTAACATGTAGATACACATCCATTCAAATGTAGAGGAAAGCTACATTCAGTAGTGTATAGATGTTTAAAACAAGCTGGCAGAAACAGATGATCTGAAATTTATTACAGCCCTGGAGTGCTACAATGTATGCATCAGTAGGCTTTATGTAGTACTTGTGCTTGGCTTCCTAAAAGCAGAGCAGCCATAACCTTTTACATTCACGACCAGGTAGAGTTTGATAAATCTTTGAGATGTAGCTTGTCATTATTAGGAAACCCAGATTGAGTAAAGAATTGGATATATCTCTCACTGATGCAAAAAATGAAGCAAATATAGTCCATTTAAGGTACTTTTCATTTGTGTTACACTTTCACATTCAAATCTCATTTTTGCAATGTTCAGATAACAGGTATTGTTCCCCCATTGTCCTTTCCATCATTAAGGTTTCCTAATAAATGAAAAGTGTATTTCGAATAGAGTGGGGGAGAGGTGACCGCTTCCTCTGTGACATTCTAGTTGCTTCATTGCACTTATAGCAAAAAAGATAACTATCACTGTAATAAAAAGCAGAGTGTAAATCCTAGCAGTTAGTCACATAATCAACACATTGACAAGCGCCAAAGGTTGTTCTTTACTGCTACTTATAGCGGCAATAAACTCAGCAGAGTTATTGCATGGAATTTGTGAAGGTGTCCATAAGATTTGGCTGATGCTAAAGTAAAACAGAGTGATTCCAAGGTACAAAAAGAAAAATACCTCATTACATCTGCTGAGGATTAAGGAGATTGGGAGTTTTTAGAAGAAACTCAGAATTGCAACATGGATGCAACTGTCATTTAAGTGTGGAACTAAATATATATATACATTATTTCAAAGAAAAAAGCAGAAATATGGTATGACTTATTTTTACTTAAGGAGTCCCTAATATTGTCATGGAGAGAGTATAAATAAATACATTTTAAGAAAGTTGTGGCAGTTTGAAAAGTGGAACCAAGAGATGATGGAATTTTATGTCACATATTAGGTTTAAAAATCTTTCAAGCACAGGATCATTAATTTAGAATGCAGAATTTGTTCAGACCCTAATACTTCACAATATAGTTGTAAATAAACACAAGCCATTAAGTAGCTTTAAATAGCATTTTGAGATCATTTTATTTCATTCTGATCTTATAGATTCTGAGAGGGTTTCCAGATTCATACATTTTGCTGCTATTATTTTAAAAGAAGTTGTTCAAAATATTGAATTTCCTAAAAGTATACCACTTAACAGTGAAAACTATCAGCAAGTAGAACAGTAGTTATGAGGTGTCTCTTATTAAAGAAGGTTTTAAAAGGGAGAGAATCATCCTCCTCTTGGCACAAGCTCATCATGCAGGATAAAATCCAAACTGACTTGATAATGACAAGTTATTGGATTATGTGGTCATGCAGGGCAATTGTTCCAATACATCCCTGAGCAGATAATCAGCTTTTTACTGGGAACAACTTTTGTGGAAAACTACCTTTATTCTCAACCAAAGTGGATACTCTTTCAAATTAATTAAAATTAATTAACTCAATTCAAGAGAATGTTTCATTTTTCTTTCGGAGTTTTAAATATAATTGATGCAATCAATTATACATTAATTATGCTCTTGTAATATTCTTGTCAGGCATACAGGGATGTGAATAAGTGCTTTAAACCAGTGATTCTCATCTAAACAGTAATATTGTCACTTTTCCCCTCGGCCATGTGGGAAGACATTTGGTAACATCTAGAGATACTAAGGTTATCATGTTGGAATGATGCTGTGGGTCTGCTACTTTTGCAACAAGTAGGTAGAAATTAGGGATGTTGCTAACTAATCTAAAATGCTCTAATAACACAACTCTAAGAGCAAATAATTATTTGTCCTAAGATGTCAATGTCAAAGTTAAAAAAAAAAAAAACCTGCTGTAGAAGTTAAAGAACTACTCTGTGCTTTATTTTTCTCACTTGGAAAAAAATGGAGACTATAGCTTTATGTCTAGTGGCACATGCTTGTAATCCCAGTGTTTCTGGAGGCTAAGGCAGGAGGATCAGGAGTTCAAAGCCAGACTCAGCAATTTATCAAGGCCTTAAGCAACTTAGTGAGACTCTATCTCAAAAGGAAATACTTGGGATGTAGCTCAGTAGTTAAGTGCCCCTGGGTTCAATCCCTGATACCAAATATAAATAAATAAGTAAATAATTTAAAAAAGGAAAAAGAATTTAAGAATTAAATTAGTACATGCAAAGTACCTAGGATAGAATCACACTGCAAATGTTCGTTTAAAAATTCCAATATTATCAACATTATCTTCAATATTCTATGAAAGTAGCACCATTTTAATTATATCATTTCCACTCCTTATAAATAATGTAATTTTATATTTTAAATCTAAAGTTGTATGTATGAATCATTTTTGACTTGAGGGCTCATATTAGTATTGATAAAAAGATACAGTCGCCATATAGGTACTTTGTTGAAATAAATGTCCATCTTTTACAGCCTAGGTTCAAATTACAACTTAGGCAAGCATCAAGTAAACAAAGAAGGATGTTCTTAACATAAATTCATGGTCCAGAAATGTGTGAGTTGGTGGCCACTGCTTCATGGAGGCTAAATTATTTAGGCAATATAAATCAAATTTTGTTTTTAAAGCTATTTTTCTTTGGAACAATTCCATAAGAAACAGAAAACATTGAGATTTTTCATTGTTACCTTTTACAAAACACAACCCAGAATAATAAAAGATGTCATACAATAATACCTTCTATAGAACTCTTATAGTAGGAGAAAAATCACTATACCCCTTTTTAAAAATATATTCTAGTTTTTAATGAATCTTTTTTTCTGGTATAATACATATACATTCTTGACTTTTACATATTTATTTTCTTCAGAAATGTAAAACCCAGCAACAATCTCGTGAATAAAAGATCTTAAATCAGTAGCTGCTTTGGCAGAAATCATCACACTATGAAAAATCAGAAAGTGGCTCCAACGTAGGGGAAAAAAGACAAAATCAGAAAGCAGTTCAAGTGTAGGGAAAAAGTCAAATTTCATTTTTGAGGTGGAATTAACTTAGCAATTTTTTAGCTAATGCTGTGTAATTTAAATGTAATTTACTGTTGTTGGAACTGCCTTTCTAGGACTTGCTGTTGTGAGAATGGTAGGAAAAAATTCAAATATGACACATTAATCAATTCTATTCTTTAGTATACTTTTCCCTGATGTTTATAACCTTTGTCAGAACAGAGACAACCTGCTGTAAGAGATAGAAAAGTGATCAAGTAAAAGAATTAGCTTTACCTAACAGTCCATTTAGGTAAGTGTCTCTAACTGTGTATTTAACCACTCAGAGGTCAAAGGACCATGCTGATCTTCCCTGATTCACAGCGGTCTGTGTATGCGTTTGGCAAGCATCTGTTCTTGGTTAAAATGTCTACTGAAATCAAGTCTTTCTACCTTTAGAGGAAAAAGATGAGTTGAACATGATTTAAGAAAGGAAGGCACTGAAACTTAATCTATCAGGTTCTGCATACGAGTAAGCCTTTGGAGAAAACATATTCTGGATGAGAAAGAAAGAATATTCTCAATGTATAGAATAAGCTAGACCAATTTACTTCATTGTCAGGGATATTAGGGAAAGAGTATTTGGTAGGATAGAAACTACAGAAATGCTGATGTACTACTCTGCTCACACAGTCTCCTCCACCCACCAGTAATGGTGGGATTTGCTTTATATACACTTGCTTCCACTTGAAAAACAAACAATCCAACTGCATATCTGTGTGCTTACAAATACATGATAAAAGAATGGCTGAATGCAGCCTGTGATATTTTAACCCTGATAAGAACAGCATTCCTAGACTTTATTTCTGATGATAAAGAGCCATGCTGAAGACAAACACATTCCAGTGAAGATATCTGCCAGAAAACTTGACCAGAAAGACAATTCTGTTTGTGAAGAATTCACAACTGCAATAGAACGGCCACTGTGGATGTATTTTCACAAAGAAATCTTTGATTTTTGTAAAATTTTAATTGAAACTTTGTTTCTAAACAGCAATAGTCTATTCTACAATATACATCCAAGATCATACATATATATGTATATATATATACATATATATAACACACGTGTATATTTGTATATATATTTATGCATGTGTATATACATATATATGTATACATATTTCATCTCAAGCAATGATGCTAACTCACATAAAATTATTTAACTTAATCTTTCATGGCCAAGACTGATATGTAGGCTGACAGGTTTTGTATGGTGCTAGTTGAAGTATGCTGCTAGTTGAAGTATGCTTATGTTTGGTTAATTGATGGACATTTCTTTTTGCTGATATATTTCCCTATGCAAAGCTTCTTTGGATGAAAAGAGGGCTATTGTGCTTGGTTTTCGTGACTAAATCTGTTTCTCTGGAGAAAAACTAATCACTGGGTGAGGTTCCTTGTAAAGAAATCTGACAGCATTTAGAATTAGTGTCACAAATTCCTCAAGCAAAGTCCAACCCATTGTACTGATAACCTATGAAAGAAGTAGTTTCTAGGAGTCAGGGGAAATCACAATTGTCACTAAGAGGAAAATTCACAGAAAAATAAGCCAAGTGTAACATACATTGAATTCTTCAACAGTAGCTAATTTGAAAAAAAAAATTCATAAAGAGATACATCAAATTGGTAATTTTAGTTAATCAACGATCCTGTTAAAGAAATTTAGACACTGAATAATTGTCAGTGTTTTTA